CCCCCCCCCCCCCCCCCCCCCCGGCGGCGCCAGCCACTGCTGCCGCTGCAGCGCGAAAGGGGGCGGGGGGAGATGCTGGAAATCAAGTCAATCAATAAAGCAGCAGCTCTGACTATATATGGTGCAGCCTTCAGCCTCCTGGTCCCGAGGAAACAAATGGGAAGGAAGGAAGGGAAAAAGGGTAGGCGAGAAAAAGGATGGAGGAGAAAGGATAGGCTATTACCAGAGCAGAGCTGCGCAGGCAGGGAAGCGACCGTCCAAGAACGCCTCCGGTCGCCTCGCCGGCCTTTTCCTCCCCCCTCCGCGCGGCTGGGCGAAAGGACAGATGGGCCGAGGACGGCGCCGCCTTTTCCTCCTCCTCCTCCTCCTCCTCCTCCTCCTCACGGCATCTCTCTTCCCGCGCTTGTAAAAGGCAGGCAGAGGAAGGCGCTCCCGTACCGCGTTCCCCGCCTTTTTGCCTCCTCGTTTCAGAAACCTGCCCAAAGAACACCGTATAGGTACCCGAGCAGGCACTAAGCGGGGTCTGAACCCGTGGAGGGGTTCCAGGTGCTTCCCTACCTGACCAGCCCCGTCCCCCCAGAGGATGATAGGTCTCCCTTCTTTTAACAAGCCGTAGGCGTGAAGTACCCCGCCCAATATGGCAGTCGAGGCATGGACGGGGTTCACGCAGCCTGCTGAGGTGTAATAGGATAGATTTGGGCTTAATGGGTTGTGTGAACTCAGCCATTGTAGCTTCTTCCACAAGCCATGGTTTAACAAACCATATAGTAATGCTAGGAGGTGGATTACTGGATGACATCAGAAAGAAAGCAAATGGTGAAAAAAGTGTATTCCATGCTGGAGATCTTTAGGAAAGGGCATGAAAATTAAAATGCCAACATGGTAATGCCTTTATACAAACTTAGGGGACACCCATATCTGGAGTCCTGTGCACAGTTCTGATGGCCATATGTGAAAAAGCTGGAAAAAAAATACAGAAGAGGCCTTCCAAAATGATCAGCCAGCTTGAACTTTCCTTAGGAGAAAACATTAGAATGGCAGGGATTTTCTAGCTTAAAAATAAGACAGTTGACGGGGGACATGATCAAAACATTAAAAAATCATGCATGGCATGGGGAAAGTACACATGAAGGTTTTTACTCTGTCAAAATCTCAAAGCTGACTGGAAGGGCATTTAGAATAGACAAAAGAAAGCATTTCTTCACACAATGCGAAATTAATCTCTGGAATTCATTACCACAAGGGAAAGTTTTGGCAACTAATTTGGATGGTTTTCAAAGACAGTTGGATAAATTCTTGAAGAACCGTCTATCAAGTGCTACTGGTCTTAAAGACTTAATGTTTCCTCTGGGTTGGAGATAATATGCTTCCCAATTCCAGGTGCAGGAAAGCAACCATGGGCAAAGGATACATCTACACCTTGCTTACAAGCACCCTGAGATATCTGTTGGCCACTGTGAGAAACAGATGCTGAACTAAGATGAGTCTCAACCTGATCCAGCATGGATGTTCTTATGTTCTATACAAGTATATATATTATGTATGTATGTATGTATGTATGTAGATCCATTCAATTGTGTCCAATTCTCAGAGACTGCCTGGACAAGTCCTTGCAGTTTTCTTGGCAAGGTTTTTCAGAAGTGGTTTGCCATTGCCTCCTTCCTAGGGCTGTGAGAAAGTTACTGGCCCAAGTCACCCAGCTGGCTTTGTACCTAGGTGGGACTAGAACTCATGGATAAATTATATAGACCTGCTTAATCCAACCAACTTCAAAGCAGTGTTCTATTTTTTTCTACTTTCTACCGAGTCAGTAATACCAAATGTGACATTATTTCTAAT